CAATGGGAAGAATTTATTTGCATTTTATAGCTTTTGATATGTAAACTAGAATGTGAAGTTTTTTGTAAGTGTGATAGTACTACATATTGCAATATAAGTATTTTTAATTTCAGAATAATTCTGTAGTTCAATAAAGTTTACTTATATTATTTTTGTATATTAGAAAAGTAAAAAATAAAATGGGTATTTATTATATGATAAATTATGTTGTCAGGTAAATTTTACATTATAAAAATGCAGTTTATGGGACGAATTTTTTGTCTCATTAGATCTTGTAGTTCATGTGACGAAATAATTTGTCACAATAAGCAAGTTAAATGAGTACCTACTGTGACGAAATAAACCTGATGTGACAAATTTAATTTGTTTATGTGACGAACATGTCGTCGCAAAAACATACAACTATGTGACGAAATTACATTTCGTCACAATCTTTGGTGACAATACAGTCGTTTGTCACATGACACCTTTCGCGACAGGCCCTACGCGACGAACGCTGCGACGAAATAATTTGTCACATAAACGTTTCTGTGACGAAAGTTTAGGTTTTTGCGACAAAATTTTTTGTCACATAAAATGCTTTTTTTTGTAGTGTGCCCAAACCCCAAAAAATACAAACATTCTTCAAAGCATTTTCTTCCAATTTCCATAGCATTTTCTTCCAATTTTGTGAATCTTGAGTAGTATCCTGAGGAAGAAGAAGAATGTCAAACTCGAAGAATCATTCGCCGTCACCGCCCAGCTACTCCACCCAAACTTGAAGCCGACTATCCGGATCCACCACAGTGCCGTCGCTGCCTTCGAATGCCACCACCGCTACTATAGTTTCTTAATCCACAATTTTCGTCCACCGAAAATTGCTTTGCTGCACTTTTTTCTTTCTATCCGAAAGAAACAAAAACAGTCGTTGCACACCACTGTGGGAGAGAGAGAAGCTGCAGGTTTGCCTATTTGTGTGATATTTTTTTTTTTTGTGTTTTTTTTATTTGTTAAAAAATTGAAATATCACTAAAAAATATTAGGGGTATTTTAGTCATTGCATACAAGTCAACCATCAATTTTGAATTAAGGTGCGGTGCGCTTCGTAAAACACAACATAGGGGGGTCCTTGCTAATATTTTTAAAACGAGAACTTTTTCGACAATTCGAAATTACACAGGGGATTTTATGCAATTAGCTCGGATTTTCTAAGATGTCACAAGTTCTATCCCTAATGAATGCATTTTTTTCGATTATTTATCAAATAAAACTCGGTCACAATGAATTTAAATTAATTATTTAATTAAAATATAGTAGGGGGTAAATTAGACAATTCAATCTTAATATATTTTATATTTATTTAATAAAAAAAATTGAAGGATAATTTGGTAAAGTACTTCATTTTTTGGAACATAAGTCATGTTATTTTCCTAGGGTCCAGATTTAATCTTAGAAAATTAATGGTGATTAATACATATCTCATATAAGTTTAGAACACAGGTGGTCTCACCCTAGTCAAGTCCAATTAAACAATCGTATTAGAATTTAGATTAAATTTGTTAGAACGCGATTGCAGATCAATGTGATTTTTCACAACGTGGATGACGACTTCAACATATAAATGCTACAATGTTTTTTTTTTTTCAATTCGCGAGCTTGAGTAGTCACTTTGAATTATTAGGTTTAATAGCAATAATCAAAGGCTTACGAGATCCTACACATGATGAAAACAAATAAAGCTTTTATCTGAATTTTAATGGTAAGTTAATTACAATCTTAATTAATTGAATGGAATGTATGAATTGAAAGACTTGCTCCTATATATAAGGAGATACGCAAGAAAGCTATATCTTCGGAGTAACTATTTATAAGCAAGTGCTCCTATATTTAGGGTTAGATGTATACTATAACTGAAATTCCATAAATAATTTATGTTTGATTTTGGTCAACTCTTAAATTTTTGAATTATTTAGGTCAATTCACGTAAATCTACAATTTCAAATTATTATTATTATTTTATTGTGGATTGAATTCGAAACAGATGTTTGTTTAGAGTAAAGATTCCAAGTCTAGATCTAGGAATTATTAGAGACTTGCATCATTAAAACTCTTGTTTATTAATTAATTAATTAGTTAATTAATAATATTATAAAATCGTGAATTATTCTTCCTCACTTCACACATTAGAAACACACACACAGAAAACCCTTATTTCTCTCGCACACACAATTCTTTAACACACATTAATTCTGAATAGAAGATGAAGGTAACAATTCTTCCAAATCTCGAAGCCGACGAGATATCAGCCATCGAAGCCCTCCTCATGCTTGCTTCCGGCGTCGGCAGAGACTCTTCACCACCACCGTCGTCCGATTCCACCGCCCCGACGACGACCAGAGTAATTGCCTCCAATCCGAACAAGAAGATTCATCACGAGTGTTCCATCTGCCACAAGGGTTTCTCCACCGGCCAAGCCCTCGGCGGCCACATGACCTCTCACCGCAACAAGAAGATCAAGAAGTCCTCACACGGCGGCAGCCGCCCCTGCAACGCTGCCGCCGCCCCAATACCCATCTTGACCAACAAGAATATCCCTAAGTGCGGCCAAAAGAGGAAACACGTCGACAACGACGAAGAAGTAATATTAATAATAAAGGGGAGCGGCGATTCTAATTATAAAGATGATTATTCCCGGCCATCTCCCACCGATGAATCCGCTCGCCACGTCAGGCTAAATATTGATTTAAATCTCCCACCGGCGCCTGAGTTTTTTTAATCAATTTCTACGGCAAGTGTAATAGATTTTTGTTTGGCTACGATTGTCTCTGGGATAAATGAAATAGGGAACTACATGGAGAGGAGGGGATCCGTTTTGATGAGGTACTAAGTTGGAGAAAAAAAAAATTAAATGGATCTAGTGATCATTATCAAGAACATAGTGGACTAATGGAACATGATTAATGCAGAAGTGGCGGAGCCGGAATTGTGTGGGGCCAAGTTTTTCTGAACCGAAACTGTGACGTGCGATGGATTTTGGTGTTTCGAGGCCGTTTAGGCCTTCAAAACGAACGTTTTTGCTATTTTAGGACAATTTTAGCAAGTTGGGATGTTTCCAATTTTCGGTATTCTATTAGGTTTATGAGTTATTTCGTTTTTTTTGCCTTTTTTTGTAATTTCTCGTTTTCCTAGTTTGATTAGGGTTTTTTCGTTTTCTTTAGTATAAATAGTTGCTCTAGGGTTTATTTTTCAGCATCTTTAATTATCAATAAAATTTCTGAGTTTTCTCTCAATTATCGGGCGGATTCCACGAGCTATCGTGTTCTATAGGATTAATTCGTAGAAATTATTTTTTTACCGTACTTCCGTTCTGCATCAATTAATGAGCCTATCTAAAATTTAATAAATAGTGAAAACAATTTGATTGAGTTCAACATAAACCAAATGTCCAGGCAAAGAACTTTCAACGTAAAAGAGTTCATGGAGTTACATTTTCAATCTAATTCAAGAAATTAAAACACTAAAAAGGGAAACATAGCTTCTCTAATTGAATTGTGCATCTGAATTGAATTGAAAAAATTGAAAACATAACCCCTATCTGCCATGTGTTTTCCATCATGTACTCACCATTAAACAAAAAAAAAAAAAACTACACGGATACATTGAATGAAAAAATCAGAACTCAGAAATCAAATCTCAGTTTGCATTTACAAAATTGCAGGAACATCGATTTAGGGTTCGCGAACGCTAATTTACACCATATTTCCTAACAACTCCACCTTTCTTGGTTCTCTTAGACATTGGAAAGGATGGAGAGTGATGAGGAGATGATTAAAAAAGCAGGCGAAGAACCCTGGGCATAAATTTTGATTTTGGAGAACAATATTTGGTAGTGTTTTTTATTATATTATATTGACGTGTAATATTTATTGATTGTGGTTATTATAATATTTTTTTAATGGAAATTTTATTCACTGATTTAATTATCTAAGGTTATTTAAGTAATTTGTTTAAAGTACGGTGCGTTTATGATGGTGTACGATGTGTTTTTACTAAGTGCGCACTTTAATTTTTAAATCCCTAGTATTGTACTAGATCGTACTAGGGTGTACGGATGAATTAATGGATGAGGTTCAAATTTAAGGGCCCATTTGATATACACCCTTTTATATGGAACTTATATAGGGCTAGGTCCACCCCTAAAATTATTTATTTGATATAACCCCCTGGAGAGGTAAAAGTGCTATTGGACCCTTATGTTCAATTTCCACCCAACTGCATTCAGCATTTTCGCCCCTACATTCAGCATAATGCTGAACTGCATTTAGCATTTTAGGCCTGCATTTATCATTTTTATAGATTATTTTAATAAAAATATAAATTCTTATTTTATTATTATTTTTTATATATATCGTATTTTGTATTTTTTTATTTTTTAATTTTTTTTAATTTTTAATTTTTTTTACGTTTTTTATTTTTTTAATTTTTTTAATTTTTTTAATTTTTTAATTTTTTAATTTTTTAATTTTTTTAATTTTTTTTAAATTTTTAAATTTTTAATATTTTAATGTTTTTAATTTTTTTTGGATAAATTTACTGTATTGAATTGACTATATATGACTACAGTATACCACAGTCATGTATAGTTATATGTAATCATGTACTGTCTTTTTACCCCAAAATTAATCTACACCAACAACAAAATTCACAATTTAATCTTGATATTATAAATTAACTAACCCAAAAAAATTGAAAAAAACACAATCACATGCATATAATCTTTAAAACATGAACACACATTACTATACATTAAAAAACACATAACATACATATAAATATATGTTAATTACTACACGTGACTATAGTTATCTACAATTATCTATAGTTATATAAGTGACATAAGTCAAGAGTACTGTAGCATGAATCCAACTTCACAAAGGCACTTCATCGAATTTTATTCTCTGCATGTCATAAAATTATAATAAAAGCAAAACATACGACAAAAAAAATACGAGTTAAATAGCAAAATGGAACATGCGAGTTAGGTTACATGAAAAATACAAAAAAAACATGATTTTTTTTTGTCGATAAATTTACTGAACTAAAATCGACTACAAATGACTATAGTATACTACAAGTCCTATATATAGTCATGTATAGTTACAAGTAGTCATGACTATACATGATTACATGTGACTGACTATATGTGACTGTATATGACTAAAATATAACTGTATATTCACCTGACTCAAATCACCCATGTAAGTAACCATTACTGGTTAAATTTCTATTACAGACAAACAAAGCTCTTACACATTAGGTATTTCAAATCATCTTCAAATAAATACAAAAAAAATTACATATATATGATTTATAATAAAAAAATCAAATTACATGAAAAATACAAAAAAAATATGATTTTTTTTGTTGATAAATTTACTAAACTAAAATCGACTACAAATAACTATATTATACTACAAGTCCTATATATAGTCATGTATAGTTACATGTAGTCATGACTATACATGACTACATGTGACTAACTATACATTACTGTATATGACTAAATATAATTGTATATTCACCTGACTCAAATCACTCATGTAAGTAACCACTACTGGTTAAATTTCCATTACAGACAAACAAAAATCTCACACTTTAGGCATTTCGAATCATCTTCAAATAAATTATAATATGATTTATAATAAAAAATCAAATTAATCCAAAGAAAAATATTTTAATATTAATTGTTCACAGATCTTCAAAAACATAGTAGATCAGTGTTTTTTTTATATATAAATACAGTAAATATATACAAATCGAACACCACCAATTCCAGATCTGAAATTTTAGGTCTGACTACATATCGTCAGATCACAATTTAATTTTTTTGAATTTAGTTGATTTTCATAAAAAAAACAATAAAATAAGGTGCAATAGTTAAGAGAATTCAGATCTTAAAAAATAAATTAAAAATGGATGGACATTCATAAATTAAAAAAATAACTTAAAAAAGTGAAGTGAATGGTTTAGTACCGAGTTCAAGGCGGTGGGAGGAGCAACGACGGCCGGCACAAGGCCGTGGCGGAGCAGCGACATCGGCAGCGCAAGGAGGTGAGGAGAGCGACGGTTGTGGCGGCACAAGGAGGTGGGGGAGCAGCGGCGACGGCGCAAGGAGGTGAGGGGAGCAACGACGGCAGAGAGCTTTGGGTAGAGAGAGAGTTAGAGAGAAAGAGATGAAGAGAGAGAAGGAAAGAAAGAGAAGAGAGAGAGAGAGTTACAGAGAGAAAGAAAGAGAGAGTGGAGGAGTGTGGAGGGGACGGTTGATAGAAGTTTTTTTTTTGGGGGGGGGGGGGGAAGAAAAAAAAAGCTAGGGGTTTAGGGTTTTAAATTGTAATTAAAGGGGCAAAATGGGTATTTCGATTTGTCTAGGGGGGGTCTATCAAATTAAGATTAGAATTTGAGTTTTTGACTAGGAAAGAAAAATCCATAGGACCTATCCCTATATATTGTCAAAAGTAGGGGGTTATCCCACATTTCCCCCAAATTTAATAGTCTTGGACGCCCCAGATTCAATTGTTTAGGTTCGAGAAGTACAACCCTTCTCGGACCCTAGACAATCCCTACTTAGATTCAAGTGACAGTTGAATTAAGTTCTTAGTTGACATTTTATAATTTGTCAAAAGAAATAAAGTTTTGGGCAAATTACGGCCAACACCCGGATGTAAGTTTAAATTATGAAAAAATCCATCATGTTTGGATAATTATAATCACACTAATTATGTATTGTATTACGGAAAAAATCGTTATTCAATAGGTAAATTTGATATTGAAGATGTGGATATGTAATTAATTTGCCCTACAGTTTTATAGATGTATGTAGAGCTTTCTTCTTATGTACAATGAGTATATGTATCTCTTCTGATTGATTTAGATGGTAGTTTTTTTTATATATGAATTAAATATCTTAAAGAAGAGAAGTCTTTTTAAGAAAATAAATCTTATTTGGATCTTGCGTACGTATAAAACGAATCTCGTTTATATGAGGAAAGTTGCAAGCAGTTACATAGGAATCCACATTCTTTATCCGGCATACCAAGATGGTACATTGCTCCATTGGAATGCCCGCGATTATAGCGGTCTGACTTGATACGCAAGGTATTTGAGCGTGTTGGATGGTAAATGTTTTGAGATACAAATCTAAGGTCTCTAAAAGTGATTTTGACCATTTTTTAGTCTGATTTTGTCAGAATTTCAAAAATACAAAAAATTGTAGTCTTTTAGAGTTAACTTTTCTAAGATAACTTGAATCAGCTAGATTGAATGTCGTATGACAAAGTTATGCATGAATATGTTACAATTTAAATTTTAGATAATTGATCAAAACATAAAAAATGTGGGCAGTGTTCATTAATTCATGCGCATATTTATCAACAATCAAGTCAAGAATTGGAGTTTGTTTTCTTAATTTATTATGGGGTCGAATTGCAATTTTCGAATTGTTGAGAAAGGACAATAGTCTGCGTATGGTTCTTGTGCGTATTTGCACTTTCACCCCCACCTGGGGTCATTCAGCAATTTTCTAAGACTAAACTTCCTAGGTGTCACGGGGGTTTCTTTACTCAAGAAATTTTCGCTCGAGCGGCCTGATTTGCCCACCAAATCAGCCAGCCTTCCTCTCGATTTTCTTCGCACAAAACGCACAAACACAAGTCTTTTCAGCCACATAAACAATAGCAAGAGTATGCATCGGAAAACAAACACACAAGCACGTTTACGGGCAATGCCCAACCTTTATATTAATTTCCCACCAAGAATACAAAAAAGACTAAGGTGCACACAAAATCCTCACTCAGAATGCCCACAGTTGCAACCTGAACTCTCTAATGCTAGATTATGCTAGATTGGTCGGATTTGTGCACTCATAGCCAAATAAATACAATGAAAATGTAGTTTTCACATAAAACTACCTAAAGACACATGGCAGCACTAACACTTGACACTTGGCCAACTATTACAAGTAATAAGGGGCAGTTTTTCATGATTTCCAGGCCTCAACTGCTCCGTAACTTCCCTCAAATCCGCCCACAAGGCTGATTTTCGAAGCCCAACTTGATCGGGCGCGCGCCAAACGGCCCAAACAGCCCGGCCGGTTGCTAAGCAGCCCATCTGCCTTGCATTTTCCGCACTTTTGCTTGCCTTTACCTATTACTTGCTAGTTCTTTGCCCACACCACTACTAGAAATTTGCTATTTAGTGACGGAAGGATTCGTTGCTACACATACCAAATTCGTCGCTAATCACAATTTTGCGACAGATGAAACCCGTAACTAAATCCGTATTTAATGATCACATTTCTTTCCAAAATCAATAAAATTGGAAAATAATTTTAGGAAATATTGAACTATCTTCACTACTATCCACTAGAAAAATTGAAGTCTGAAAACCATCACTATTAATGGCACATAAGCAAACAATTTCGAAAACATAAACACATTAAATAATCTAGCGTATTACAAAAACTGCGCAAAATTTTGCAAGGAGCGGAAATCGCAGGGATTTTAGCAGCAGCCCAAATACCCAATAAATTAGGGTTTTTACCTTATAATACACTAAACACATAGAAACCACATAAAAACCTAGTTCATAAATATTAAGCAAAATGAATTTACCTAATCAAAATTAGGGTTATTTTAGATGTGAACACCTCTAACGACAGACGACTGCAGTCGCAAGGACTGTGGCTGGTGGGAAATAAGAAGGCATCCGAAGATGGAAATTGGAAATCTGCGAACAGTCCCATATAACGACAATCGGAAATCGGCGGCCACATGACGAATCGAGTGAGACAGCAAGACAGGAGGACCGAGGCCGCCAAGGGGCTGAAGCGAGATTAGATTGGAAAAGGGTTGAGCAAAAAAAATAAGATTAGAAAGGGGATGATAGGGAACTGGAAAAGGGATGAAGACTTGTACGAAGAGTCGAGATATATTAAATGGCGGCCGTTATATGCAAGTCCATTTTTTTATTAGTTCAAAACCACATAAAGGAGTTTATTAGTTCAAGCCCGTAAATTAATCTAATTTTATTATATCAAGACCGAAGATGTCAAATATACCCTTATCCACAAATAATACTCAAATACAAATAAATCTTATTTTTAATTCGTTCAAGACCAAAAAAAAAAAAAAAAAACAAAAAAGAAATATCACGACGGCTAAATATTAATCTATGCTAAATATGTATGAACGAACATTAATCTATGCTTATTTCTTGTTGGGTAATGATTTGGCCGATTTTGGAAAAAAAATTGAGATTGAAATTGGTTTTTTTATTTTTTTCGTTGGTTTCCGAAATCGGTTTATCCAGACCGATTTTGTACACGAAAATCGGCGTCATAATACCGATTTTTGTTAACCAAATCGGCGACACAACGTCGACTTTACAAGTCAAAATCGACGTTCTAATGTTGATTATTGAGTACAAAATCGGTTTTCGAATACCGATATTTTTTGAATTTTTTTTTAAAATAATACATTATATATTTGGTTAATTGATATTTTTTAAATATTTGAAACGAAAATGTTTATCACCATTCGGTGGCGTCTACCACTCCTTTAACCCAATCGAGTAGAGCTTTCCGTATTTCAATTATTTATTCGTTAGATAATTCATTTGAATAATCCTCCATCAATTCCCTAGGTTGATGTACGAAAGTATGAGAAAACGGTCTTAAAAAAACACAGATAATAAAATCGGTATTTAAAAACCGAATTTTGTAGTACAAGTCGGCATGACAATACCGATATTACAAAAACAAATCGGTGTTGTCATGCCGATTTTTACTACAAAAATCAGTTTTTAAGTACCGATTTTTATTAAAATAATCGGAATGTGGTTACCGACTTTAGTAACAAAAATCGGTATTTGCAGACCGATTTTTGGTATCGTCGAATTTTCCCAACAAAAAAAAACGACCCAAAAGCAAAAATAAACGGTTAAAACATATTTCATTGTGTTCTCCACCCTCGTAAACCACCATATCATTGTTTTCTGGTTCCATCGTGAATGTTTGGTATGTATTTGATAATTTTGGTGTGTAGGATTTCTTGGTGGGTTTGTGAAGAAGAAGGGGAAGAAGGAGGAGAGTTTTAAGTCGTGAAATAAGGAAGAGGGGTTTCTGGATTTATGTATTTTATTTGGTCTTGCACAAAGAAAATGATTTATTTTTAGTTTTTAATGCTTTATGTTTTTTATTTGATTTTAAATTTCATTAAGGGTAAATTAGTATTTTGATATTGGAGGTCTTGAACTAATAAAAAAGTGGGCTTGCATATAACCGCCGCCATATTAAATATTGTCAATAAATAATTATAATAACTTACATAAATTTATTATTAGCAACGGATTGATCGTTAGTTGCTAAAGATGTTGCTTCACAATTATTTTAGAAACGAATTTGTCATCTGTCACTAATGGCCATTGCTATATCTGGCGTTTAATTGGAAAAGCAACAAATATGTCGCCCATTGCTAATTCTCTCGCAAAGTATCCTTTTTTAGAAACAAATCTGCTATCCGTCACTAAAATCTGTAGCTAAATCTCAATTTTCTAGTAGTGGCCGCCCACAACCCCACATCGCCTTGACATCTCGGTTCTGATCGTTGAACTCAACCGTTTTCTTCATATTCTCACGAGCGACTCTTTCTCTCTCCCGAGGCTTCTTCAATTCCGCAATCCTGATTCCTTCTTCTTTAAGTTTCTCTTCTTCTATCTGCTTCTGTCGCAGTACGCCGTCGGACTTCCCCACCAAGTAATGCGTAGCTTTGAATATCGTATCCGCAAATTGACTTTTCAGCATCAAAGCCCTCGAAGAAGCCGAAACTTCCACGTCATCTTCCGCCGCGGTTGATATTTTTTTCCGGTGCCCTCGTCCGCGTAGCCGGGATAATCATTACCGGATCTTCTTCTTTTTCTTCTTTTGATACTCTGACATCGGACGTGCGAATATGATCGATATCACATGATGTTCGTAATGTAGCCGTTGAAAATTTGAACTTGGAATTCTCCTTAACTATGGCAGAAATCCGTTGGAGCTTTGATCTTTTCGAACTTGCGATCGGCATCTTCTTCATCGTGATTAAAAATAACAACAGAAATTCAAGCAAAAATAAATTGTAATAGAAAAGGTGACGAAGTATTTTATGGTTAAACTCTGATCTAGATTATATATGAAAATTTATAAGGTTTATTTCCTTTATAAACTCTGTTTAGTTGGGTATATATTAATTAATGGAAATTCATAATTTTATATTAATTATAATTAATATTTAGGGTTAAATTATTATAATTTTGAAATTGAGAAGTTAGAGTTGACCAAAGTCAAACATGAATTATTTATGGAATTCGAGTATCTAACCCTAAATTTAAATAGTTACTCAGAAGATATAGCTTCCTTGTATATCTCCTTATATATAGAAGCAAGTCTTTCAATTCATACATTCCATTCAATTAATTAAGTTGGTAAACTTAATTACCATTAAAATTCATATAAAACATTTATTTGTTTTCACCAGGTGTAGGATTTTGTAAGCCTTCGATTGTCACTACTAAATCTAATAATCCAAAGTGACTCAAGCTCGCGAATTAAATAAAACACCATAACATTTATACGTTGAAGTTGTCATATATCAACGTTGTGAAAAATCACATCGATCTACAATCGCGTTCTAAAAAATTTAATCTAAATTCTAATACGATTGATTAATTCAGAGTTATGATACATAGTTTAATTTAATCAAGATTAATCCAATCGATGTCTAAATCGATCGAACGGAGCCTAGAATTATATCATTTATGTGAAATACTTAACAAATTCGTATGAAGAAAAAAACCCACCGTTAATCAATCGCCGATCGCGGACCGCATTATCGATCAACTCTTCTTCAATAATTATTTTGAAGAACAATGGAATAATATATCAATAATTATAATTACAAAATTTAAATGAAGTAAATTTATTGGGGTTACAAAATATAAGTCTAAAACAACAAACAAAATACTAACAACAAACAAAATACTAACAACAAATTATTGAAGTAGTGAACAAGAAATTTGAATAGATGAACCCTAATTAATCTACATGGCTAATTGAATTAATCCAATTAATACAAAATTGTACTAAATAATTGCAGTAGAAATCGAGCAGATCAGATAATTGCCGCGCTTGGAGAAAATTCAGGCTCCGGTGGGAGATTCAAGTCGATGCTTCGTGCGACCCATGTAGATGCAGCTTCGTCCGAGGAATCGGAGTTGTTGTTGCGTTTTCGCTTCTTCAAAGATATATTATCGTTGATCGAGATCACGGTCTTTGGGGCGGGGATGGGGGTGGGGGAGTTGCATGGGGGGCCGCCGTGTGAGGACTTGAATTTAATCGTATTCCGGTGAGTGGTCTTGTGGCCGCCGAGTGCCTGCCCGGTCGAGAATACCTTGTGACATATTGAACACTCGTGGGCCCTGCCGCTACGGTTCTGATCGGAGGCGGCATCACTTCTATTGGTGGTGGTTTGGGAATCGGATGGTGGTGAAGAGAAGTCTTTGCCGGAAGCAAGCATCATGAGTACTTCGACGGCAACAATCTCGTCGTCGGTTACGATATCGGGTCGCCGTGGAGGAATTATCTTCAGCTTCATGATCAATCGGAGTATAATTAATTAGAGATACAAATTACAATGTGTGAAAAAACTGTCTGTGAAATTGTCTGCGATATAAAGAACCTTTTTGTGAATTAAATTAAATAA